CTGTGGATATCAGGACAGAGTTTTGGTGTGTCTCCACCATGAACTGCACACCTCTACTCTTCCCACTCCTCTTGCTCTACACAGGTGATCTCTTCTGCCCTGTCCCAGATTCTACCTGTAGGGGTACCACAGGATCATGAGCTGGATCTTCCCCAAATGTGAAGTTTATATGGGGCATWGATTTATTGGGTCCCCTGGGTATGGGTCCTTCATCTCTCTCTCTTCTCTTGCAGGTTTTGTGGTCTCCTATGAGCTGACTCAGCCATCCTCAGTCTCAGTAGCCCCAGGACAGACAGCCACAATCACCTGTTCTGGAGATGAATTGTCAAATAACTATGCAAACTGGTTCCAGCAGCAGTACCCAGGACAGAGCCCTGTGCTGGTAATATACAAAGATAGTGAGAGACCTTCAGGGATCCCAGAGAGATTCTCTGGGTCCAGYTCAGGGACAACAGCCACTCTGACCATCAGTAGAACTCAGACTGAAGATGAGGCTGTCTATTATTGTTTATCATCCTATGATGATAGTGATGGTGGTAATGTACTTCCCACAGTGACACAGGCAGATGGGAAGTGAGACACAAACTTCTACCCTGTCAGTGTCATACTTCTCTCCAGATTCAAGAGGACTACAAATAGAGCCTTGAGCAAAACTGGTTCAGCTCATCCAGAGATGAGGCCCCAAGCTCCTTTTTCTTCCCAGCCCTACAGCCAGRCTCAACACAGTGTAGGTGAGGGATGATTCTATGGCCATTAAGACAGATTGTCATGGGGTTTTCTGAAACAGGCAGTGAGAAAGAACAGCAAAAATGAATGAAAATATAGATAGGAAGAGACATCCCTCTATGTCATGGTCTCTGGATTTCTATATTATGGTTCCTGGACCTCTCCAGGGCCCCAGTATTCCAGATTTCTAGTCCCCTGAGTTGCTCATCACTTCTCAGCCCCTGAAACCCCAGATTCCCATGGTAACCTTCATTTTGAACACAGAAGACCAGTATAGAGTATAGAGAGGGATTGGCCTTGATTTCCTCTTCAGAGCTCACCTACCCATGCACAGAACCTTGGATTTATCACAGCTCACAGAGATGCTCTCACTGCAATTTGTGTTGGYTGGTTGCAGAAAAYTGCTTCTCCAGGTTCATATCTTTCTCATACAGGTTTAGTTTAATGGCTGCTTGAGGCCATGACCTCAGAGCCTTGCCCCATTTTAGGGTGCTCTGCAGGTCATCCAGCTTCAGGACAATCTGTTTGGCTACTGAGTGGTCAGCTGTCACCTCATGRGGTCACTGTCTCTTTCAACACAGTACTGCCCCCCCCCCACTATCTGATTTCAAGACAGCCTGAGCATCATTCTTTACCTCAGAGT